GGGCACGTTTGGGATGGGCGCACTGCGATGGCGGCTTCAGGCACATCGAGGTTCGGGCTTGCATGTAGGTTCAAGGTTGAGGGAGAGAGATCGGTTTGAGGAGCCTCAGCTGCAAAGCCTGGAACCTGGCTCAGCGGCTAAGCACCTCTAAATGCATCCCTGCGAGGCTTCCTGGTTCCAATCCCTGAAACCTCTTCACCCCCAGACCTGAAAAGCTCGAGGTTCTTCCTCGGTCACCGAAGACCTCATTCAAAGCCTGAGAGTCTCATCCAGAAGCCCGAAAGCTGAGCTTCAAGCCACAAGAACCCTGCTAAGCTCCCCAAAGCCTAGGGAGTCTTGCGCCCCAAATCAGACGAATCGCCAGAACACCCCAAAGCGATGAATCCGATGCACAGCCCTCAGGCCCCTAAACCCTCAACCCTCAACCCTCAACCCTCAACCCTCAACCCTCAACCCTCAACCCTCAACCCTAAACCCGAAATCCGAAACCCGAAACGCCTGAGGTCATTGACACGGCGGCGGTCGCCCGTCTCAGTGCGTACTTGGCAGCCTGCGAGGGGCTGCCGAGCTGCAATGTTCAGGAGGGCCTCAGGGGCTTCAAGGGTTAAGGGGCTAACGCAGAGACAACCCTAAACCCTAAGCCCTAAACCCTAAACCCTAAACCCTAAACCCTAAACCCTAAACCCTAAACCCTAAACCCTAAACCACGCGTTAAGGGGTTGGAGCAAAGGTTCCCTCAACTCCTGCAGTTCGTAAGGCCTCGGGGCTTGGGTTTAACGCTCTGGGCCTCAACACTTGAGCAAGGCCTGAGTAGCAAGCGCCATGAAGAGCCATGAAAAGGGTATATGAAGCAGGGCTTATATTACTGTTTTTGGTGAGTGTATATAAAGGTTCCTTTTTAAAATTGGTGAGTGTATATACCTGGTGTCCTTTTGGGGGGTACAAGAAATAGATACCCTGCTTCATATCGCACAAGACTGCCCTCAAAAAATCTTCATCCCCAGGAGCCCTTGACGCCTAAACCCCGAAGCTCAGGCACGGCGGCCAAATACTGCTGGACGGCCGAAGGTGGCAGGCGCCGAAGTGGGGAGGGCGGGGAGGGGGGGGGGAGGGGGGGGGATGGGTTTAGGGTTTAGGGTTTAGGGTTTAGGGTTTAGGGTTTAAGGGTAGGCTGGGCATCTTGTGCAAGGAGCGCTAGGGCCTCTTGGCAAGGCCAAACCGAACGGCTTCTGGTTCGGGCCCACCGTGCTCCTGCACCAGTCGGCTCAGGTCGGGATGTGAGGGATTGTGAGGGTTCAGGGTTCCGGGCCTCTGGTATTTGAGGGTTCAGGGCCCCAGATTCAGGGTTTCAGGTTTCGGTCTCTGGGGTGTCAGTGCATGGGGTTTGAGAAGTTTACGGTTGAGCGTGTTGGGGGTAATGGGGCCTGAGCTGAATTCGAGCACGAAGCTGATGGCAGGAGCCTGCGATGAAGGACGAGATCTTCGGGCCAGTGCTGTCCGTGCTGGAGGCGGCCCCTGTTTGGTTTCTAGTAGGGATTTGTGAGGCTTCGGATGCTACGCTTCTTTTTTCTTTCAAAAGATTCCCATCTGCACCATGCAAGCATCTGCAAGCCCCTGACGCCCACGAAGCAAGCGGCAACCTTCAGGGATCATCATGAGGTTGACACCTTGGACGAAGCCATCGCCATCGAGAACGCCAACCCCTATGGCAACGCGGCCGCCATCTACACCATGTCGGGGCAGACCGCCCTTGAGACGGAGCCCTGAGGGTTCAGGGCTCCGGGTTTAATTGAGTTGTGCTGTGTGATAACTTTTTAACTTCCCTTCTTTCAGGGAACCTACTCATACATAACTTTTGAAGGGTCTGAAGGACAGCCCAGTTTTTTTCAGGTTCCCTAAACCCTAAACCCTGAACCCTAAACCCTAAACCCTAAACCCTAAACCCTAAACCCTAAACCCTAAACCCTAAACCCGGGGGTTCATGGCCTGTTAGCGCGTTCAGGGCTGTGATCGGGTGTGGAGCTTCAGAGTTGAGGGTTCATATGGCCTCAGAAAGTCCATTCTCGGCGGACAGGCCTTAGGCCTTTGTTGGCACAGCAAGTGACTCTTCTTTCACTTGCATCCCGAAACCCTAAGCCCTAGACCCTAGACCCTAAACCCTATACCCTAAACCCTGAACCCTGAACCCTAAACCCTTTTTGGGACCTAGCACGATCCGATCTTGGATGATATGACCGGTCGACAAGCGTGCCGAACTCCGCAGCCTCGCTGCCTTGGAGCGTGAATGTGCCCGTGTGTGTGGGTGTGTGCGCGCGCGCCATTTTGTAGTGTAGGGGCCTTCTTGATTTTCGTCCGTTCATCAAGACTTAGTTTCATCGGATGAGTTTTAAGGGTCGGAGTATGTCGGAGTTCAACCGCACGTTGGTGTTTGCAGAAACCCTCAACTCTAAACCCTAAACCCGAAACCCTACACCCTAAACCGGGGTTTTAGGAAAGGGTTGCCGACGAGGAGAAGCTTGCTGCTGGCATGATTGGCGTCAACATCGGTGTGCCTGTTCCGAGGGAGCCGCCGGGGGCTCTGCGTGCTCAAAAAGCGAACATCAGGGACCCCAAACAGTAGGATTCCCTCATAATAAGGACCCCAAGAGTACCCCGAATTTTGGAAACCCCCCATATGCAGGGTTTTGAAGATGACGAGCACTTAGGAGGTAAAAGGGTCTGGGGCGAGTTGGGTGAGGCCAAGGAGTCCTTGCTTGCCTGGCTCCGCAGTTGCGTTTTAAGGCAGCTTCCTCGCCCGGGCCCGGAGGTCTTGAAAGTGGGGTTTAGGGTTTAGGGTTTTGGGTTTAGGGCTACAGCCCTGTTCCGAAGCCCAAAAGAACCCAAAACCCCAGACCCCTTAAACGCCAGCGCTTCAGTTGCGCAACCGCAGGTTCAAGGTCCCGCGAGGCTCCCCAAAACTTGAAGGCCAGACGCCTGAAGATCGCTGAGCCCCCAGGCACCAAGCCCCCCAAGCCTCCAGCGACGCAACCCCAAGTCCCTTAAGACCTCAAGCTCTAAGGCTGGAACCGTCTTATATATAGTGTAAATAGAAGTATAAGGGATGTATATATATATATATATATATATATATATATATATATAGCGAGGGGCCCAAATTAGGAGCCCAGACTTTGGACGCTAGGCAAGCCCTTTTGCCCTTTGGAGGTTCAGTTTCGGCGGCATCTTGAACTCCAAGTTTGGGGACAGCTCCGACATCACCGGAGAGGGCGGCTTAAACTTCTGGACGCAGAAGATCCTTCGACTGGGGTTCAGAGGGGCTCTGAGGGGGGGTTTGGGGTTTCGGGTTTCGGGTTTAGGGTTTAGGGTTTCGGGTTTAGGGTTTAAGGTTTCGGGTCTTTTCGGGGGGGTGCCTTGGATGCTGAATTGACGTCTATTCTGCGCACGCTCGTTGTTTTCTTGGATTGTGTCCGAAAACCTTTCTGGAGTTGGGTTCTCGTTTAACGCGTTAACGCGGAAGGCGCGCGATCACGCATTCTGACGAAAGAGGCCACGCAGACGAGACGGTCAACGGAGGAGGGTCGGACGGAATGAATTTCATTTTGCTGGGGGAGAGGGGCGTGGGGACGCATGGACCATATGCATGCGAGAAGCACGATGTGCGATTGAGAGAGCGAGGACAAAGAGGGGGGAGCGCGGCGGGGAGCGTGACATTCGGTTGAGGGGCAGGGGAGCGGGGTACACGTGGACAAGACAACGGGTTCAGAGCACGATGTATATCCGGTTGAAGGGAAGGGTGTAAGCGGGGGGACCGGTTGATGGCTTTGAATGCCCCAGCCTTCCGCGCCCTCCGAGCACTCGCGCCCTCCGCGAGCTTCCGCGTGCTCCGCGCCTTCCTCCCTGCGCGCCCCCGTCCGCGCTCTCGGTGCCCTCCGTGCTCCGCGTCCTCGCCGTGTCCTCCGCCCCCCAGCCCATGGATGCATGATATGCATTATGTTGACGCTGCGGGCGCGTCGTGTCTGTTCTGCGGGCGCGTTGCGTCTATTCCGCGGGTGGTTCCTTTGTTTACAAGGCACGCACGTGCAGAATAGCCTCTAAGTGTCCATCTTGCAGGGGTGGGGGGGGGGGGTTTCTTTGGTTGGGGAACTCGTAGGTTTAGGGCTCAGCTGAGAGGGCTTCGTGCTCCGACCCCGGCATGAGGATCAAGATTACATCGAAGTGGCAGCCGCCGAAGAAGCGGGACGTCATCAGCTCTTCCTTTATCTCCTGAGGCGTGCCCGTAGTTTGGAGTTCGGTTGTCATGCTTGGAGCTTTTGGCTCCGTCTACTCACTTTTGCTGACACCCGAGAGCTTCCTCAGATTTACCGGACTCTTCCGGACAGTTTCACCATTGCGGTGCCCACCCAGCTCAGTGCTGGAGCATCAGACTCAGGCGCGCGACGTGGAGATTAAGGTTCTCTTTTCATCAATGCAAGTTGCGAGTGGCCTTGCGCCAGCGTACCTCTGCTGCCAGGAGAAGCCAAGTAGCTTTCAGATGCACTCTTAAACCCTAAACCCTAAACCCTAAACCCTAAACCCTCTGAAATTCCGGTCTCCCAGACACTTCGTTCCAGCTGTGAGGCCGTGGAACCCGAGGCCCCAGACCCCTTAGTTTTTGACTTATCCCATTCGAAGCTACCCCAAATCCCCCTAAAATCCCCTTTAAAATCCCCACAAATCCTCAAAATTCCCCACAAGTCCACGACAGTCCCCAAAAAGTCCCCCAAAAAACCCAGAGAGCTAAAGGTCTCCGAGGACCCAAGCTGCCTCGTCGGGGAGGCCGCCAAGACTTCAAGTGGGCATTTTTTGGGGGGATTGGGTTTTGGGTTTAGGGTTTAGGGTTTGGGGTTTAGGGTTTAAGGTTTAGGGTTAAGGGGAGGGGGGGATTGTCTAAGAAGAACGCAACATACCCCAAACCCAGGCCCCTTAACCTCTAGAAGGAGAACCTAAGGAGTACCCCTTAATTTCTTGTAAGGGTATGCCCAAAGGGTATCTAGGTGGGACTTTACTACAACTTGATCACTTTATATGTTTAGGGTTACCTTTATCGGGGGGGGGGTTAAGGAGCAACCAAGGTATGTTGAACGTTTCTTAGAGATTGTGAGGCTTAAAAGGGTTTGAGTTGGCAGCACCTGAGGTTTTGGAAGCAGGCCCTACGCCCTTAACCCTTTCCCCGAAACCCAAAACCCGAAACCCTAAACCCCAAACCCTAAACCCTAAGCACTAGACCCTAAAACCTAAACCCTAAACCCTCAGCGCTAGGGCTTAGACCCGGAGTGGCTCCGTTGAAGTCGAAAGCTCTCAACACGGCGTTTGGGGTTTCGGGTTTTGGGATTAGGGTTTATAGGGTTTAGGATTTAGGGGCTTGGCACACGTGAACCTTGGGCCAGGAAGCTTGTCCGGCCTCCTCCAGTCAGGTGCGCAGGCGGGGGCGGGGGTCCCAAAAAGCATCCAAACCTCCAAAGCCCCCTCCAAAGCCCGTGCAAAGCCCCCTGCAAAGCCCCCCTGCAAAGCCCAAGCAGGAGCCACGTCGCGTCTGCCCATTTCTACGACAGCCTGAGCCACGACCTCAACAGCAGCGCCCGGGGCCCTGGTGGGGCCCTGGCTAAGTCACACTTCCTAAGAACGGCGGCGAACTCCAAGACCGACACGGCTCGAAGGCCTTGCTGACACTTGAGCCCACGAGCACCATGAGCCTTGCCAGACTCGCCCCTTCCGAGATCTACCGCTGGCAGCCTGCGAGCGCTGGCTTCGAGCTTCACCAGGTGTTTAGGGCGGAGGGTTTTGGGGTTGAGAGTTGTGTTTTGGGCTTCATCAAAGGTTGCCAGCTCACTTTCTCAAGGTCAGGGAAGCCATTGCTCGTGTACGTGAGCCGTGCTTCGTCGACTTCGCGGTGTGAGAGGGCTGTCTTCAGAGGATTGAAGGTGGATTGAAGGTGTACGGAAGAACTTCGTCTCTCGCAAGTGAGAATAGTAGTAGGTTGGGTTTCCGAGTTTTGGAGCTGGGCTAGAAAAGTAGGTTGGGGTTCAGGGTTCGGGGTTTAGGCCTCTTACTTGACTTTCTTCACTCGCAACTCTACAGTTTCATAGCTCGGTTCTTTTTCCTGGATATCGGTACGTGTTGTGCAAACTTGCAATGCTTGCTGGCCGATTCTTTGCCATGCAAGGCTCTTCCGACGAGCGGGGCCTGGGCAATTACATCCTTTGAGCTCTCCGGGGACGTCTTTCTCGCTGTTGCGAGGCTGGGGCAGTTTTTCTGTGCAGAGTTTCAGCGTCGCTGCCTACATCGAACGATGAAAGCATGAAGGTAGTTCTCCAAATCGCTTGTTTCAATAGGGATCCCCCAGAGGGACAAAAGGGATGTTAGGGTTTCGGGTTTAGGGTTTAGAGATGTTTAGAGTTTCGGGTTTAGGGTTTAGGGTTTCGGGTTTAGGGTTTAGGGTTTAGGGTTTCGGGTTTAGGGTTTAGGGCTCTACTTCCTCCTCGCCTCAGTTTCTTCGACGGCACCAGCCGCAAGTTGAACAGCCGCCTCTATCGCTGGGATGCAGGACAGCCCAGTGGGCAGATTTAGATTCAGGGGGGGTTTCGTCGAGCGGAACGGTCTCAGCTTTAAGACTGGCAGGGGGTGCGTTGCGGGCACTGCAGCCCCTTTGTGCCGAAGGGTCTCGCACGAGGGTTTTTGCAAAAATGCCATGTCTCACACCATTGCAACATATTGCAACAGCTTTATCTTCCAGCGGCGTGAATGTGCGGCGCGGGATGGACACTTGTTAGAAGGGAAGCTCTGTATAGGAGCGAACGGTGCAGCTTGAGAGAGTGTGCTTGTTGTTGTGTGTGGGCGATTTCGTTTGAAAAGTGGGCTGAGGTTGTTGCAGACATGTTCGTTTGGCATCAGGACGCGCTGGGACTTGGGGCTAGTTTCATCAGCTTGCTTATGGTTGATGATTGAGACCGCGTGGAAAATTTTGAACAGCTGCCAGCCTTGCGTGCACGGCCCTGAGCAGTCCCCAGTGCCTTGTATATAATGCGGAGCCCTTTTCCTAGGTAGGATAAGGGGGACCCTTAAAAGGGAAGCCCTTCTTAACCCTCTTCTGGCTCTCTTAACAGGGACCTTATTCAGAGGGTCTTTCTCCCCAAGGGTCCCCCTAATCCTATCCCCTACCTTTTCTTTCGTCTCGAGTCCCAACAGGATCTGGCCACAGAAGGTGCGAAGGACGTCGAGTTCCTGGCTCTGTCGACCTCCCTCGGGGCCCGGGGGGGACGGTTTAGGGTTTAGGGTTTAGGGTTTAGGGTTTAGGGTTTAGGGTTAGGGTTACTTGGGGAGGTTTGGCTGCACAGTTCTTTCGCAACCCTGGACATTATGTTGAACTTTGCCGAGCGTTCCGAAGGTGCTGGCCTTTGCTGGGCATGGCGTGGACGACTCTGCACAGGACTCATTTTCAGGGGGATTTCCTGCTTGCAGGTGACTCCTCTAGAAATCTCTAGAATAATCTTCAATCAGGCTTAATTCCCGTTCATGACCTGTGATTAAGGGAGAACCTTGCGGGGGTTCCATGGTGCCTAGTAACCCAATTCTGACAGTGCTTATCACCCACTTCTAACCCTATTAGGGTACGTAAGGGCCTTATAAGTGGGTTATAACTACACTTTAAATTTGGGTTATAAGTACCCTGAACCTCCAAGTAGGCGATCCGATGAACGTTTGATTTCGAGGTCATGGTCCTCTGGAATCCTATTGAGCTTGGGGTTTGAGGGCTCGGGGTTTTAGGGTTTTAGGGTTTCGGGTTTAGGGTTTCAGGAACCAGGCTTATGGAGGTTGGGGTTTGAGGGCTCAGGGTTTCGAGGTACGTCATGTAGACGGGTGTGAAAAGAAGGTCATGTTTCTTAGCGAGGCTACATCCCTATTTCTGAACCCTGAATGTAAAACCTTGTTGGCTCGCTCTTCCTCTTACTCTTCAGTTTCTCACGCACCACGATTTTTCGCTGCCTCATAGTTGACAGCGACAACATGACTCCCCAAAGAGCTTGAAGAGCTTCTTCGGCCTGAACGACAGAAAACAACGCGAAGAGATTGTCCTCCGTTCGCTCATTTCAACATTACGTGAGTAACCTGTAAAGCTTACTTGTTGAAAGTGCCCTGTTGAAGGTTCACGTATCAGGCTTTTCTTACCTCACCGTTTTCGAGCTTCTTGATTCGCTCGGCCCGTCTCGCCTTTCTCCTTTCCAGCAAGTCAGCGAGTATTCGACCTCTCAGGACGCCGGCAACCCCCAAAACTGCACAAAAGCCATTCTTGGGCTTGTATTTCCGAGGTCATCTTGAGCTATCCGCCTAAACTCTAAACCCTAACCCCTAAACCCTAACCCCTAAACTTGAAACCCTAAACCCTAAACCCTAAACATCCCATCGAAGAGCGTCATCATGTTGATTCATTTCATCTTGCTGGGATCGAACGCTCTGATCGATCGAGCCCTGCTCCCAATTCATGTAGCCGTCTTCTCCCTCCCACCACGTCCCTCAACCCTTGCACCGACGTCCTAATATAGGGGTCGGAATAGTTACTAATCATATTCCCTTATGGTCCCTTTGCAAGTATTACAAGAACGTCCCTAAACCCTGACACCTACATCCTACACTCTCTGAGCCCTCACTTGAGCCCCCACTTGCGCAAGGTGGGAGAGTGCCGCTTGTTCATTTGGGAACCGGCCAGTCGGCGCTTCGAACTGCTTCAGGCGCCCAGGTCATGGCTTAGGGGCACGCCGGGGTGGACAGGCTCAGCGTTGAGGGGTTCGGGGGTTACGGGGCTGGGGCTGAGCGCTTCGGGATGAGGGTGTCTTTGCTTCATGAAGACGCACAAGGGGCGGGGGGGGGTGAGTTTTAGACGTCTTCGGTTGGTATCGCACTACATTCTCTAATCCAAACAGACTTTTTAGAAAAGCTGTCTATCTTACATGTGAACATCCAAGTTGAATGAGTACGAATAGAAGGTTTGAAGGCTTCAAGGGAGGCCAAGGGAAGGCCTCAAAGGGCGTCAGAGCGATATCTGCTAAATCTCTCGCTGCTCGCAGATGGCAGAGGGTCTTCACCTCATGAAGAGATGGAGCACTTAAGGGCATCGAGCATCAATGCCAGCAATGCTCATACTGACGCCAAGCACGTTGAAGCCGCGAAAGCCCGGTGCTTGTTCGGCTTATCCCTGGCTTTCAGGGTCTCCATGGCCACGGTTAATCCCTCTAAAGTAGGAGTTGGCTTGTTGCAGGTTTGTGACCCTAAACCCTAAACCCTAAACCCTAAACCCTAAACCCTAAACCCTAAACCCTAAACCCTAAACCCCAAAACCCTAAACCCTAAACCCTAAACCCTAAACCCTAAACCCTAAACCCTATAAGATGTAAGTCCATGCATCCCTCATGCGCACCAGAGGCCATCGGTCAGACGGACGGTCGGACGTTCAGATGGTTGGTCGGCTCGTCCAAGCAACTTCCTACAGCCACGGCTTCGCAAGAAGAAGCCTCTCCTTGGAGTGGAGTTGTCTTTTGCTTCACCCTGGCTGTGAGTTCAGTTCGTTAATATAGGTGTCGGAAGAATAACAAATAATTTTCCCTTGGGGTTCCTTTATAATTAGACTAGAATCACCCCCCCCCCCCAAAAAAAAAAAAAAAGAAAACAAAAAAAAGAAAAACGCATTCTAATGACTGAGGCCCCTTTGTTATGTCAGTCGGTCGGATGGTCGGCCAACGACTTTGTCGACTCGTCCACGCCAAAGCCTTGTCAGTGTGTTAGGGTTTAGGGTTTAGGGCTTAGGGTTTTATTCTTCTGGACCCCCGCTTGCAGACCCCCGGCTTCAAGTACGTTCAGGGGTGCGCTGTAACTTCTAGCCGTTGCAGCACTACGATTTGGTTCTTCCAGCTTTCACGTTGTAGCCAGACGGCCGTTACCACAGGCGGCCCATATGGAGTATTTTGGGGCATGCTCGAATAAGGCACGAGTGCTCGTGGCTGCGTGTCTAACTGATAGTTCTAATGGAACAAGTGATTTCACTATTTATCACTTTGTCAATATTTTCAATTGAAAATGGTGACAAAATCAATTGCAAAGCAACTGAAATTGTTTTTTATTGTTTATCGTTGTAATTGATATTTGATTTGGGATTAATGATCTTGAATTAGTTTGGCCTGTTTTTCATTGAATGTCAAGTATTTTTAGTGAATTCAAATTATTTTTTCAAATGAAATTGCGGGGATGTGCGTGGGAGGGGGGGGTGGGTGAGGGGGGGGGGGGGGGGGGTGGGGGGGGGTGGGTGGAGGGGGGGGGGGGGGGTGGGTGGGGTGGAGGGGGGGGGGGGGTGGGTGGGGGGGGGGGGTGGGTGGGTGGCGAAGGAGAGTGTTGAAGTTTGGAGAGTTTTGAGAGCTTGGAGGGAGTTTGCGGAGAGTTTGGAGAGAGTTTGGAGAGAAATTGATAGAGTTTGGAGAGTTGGACATGGGTTGGCGGAGGTTTTTGCTTGCTTTGCCGTGGCTGTGACAATTTGTGTATTGCTTTTTGCAAGCCACGGCTGCCTTTGTCGGCCAAGGCTAAGCAAAAACACCCGCCAGCCTTGGCAGAAGCGTTTTCGTTTGCTTAGCTGTGGCTGTGACACCCCCTTTGCAGCCAGGGCTTAGCAAAACAAAAACAACGCGGCAGGGTTACGTTTTTGCCCAGTGGCTGTAGGAATTTGTAAGTTAGACGAGAGTTCGCCATTCAGCGCGTTTTCGAAATTTACAGTGCCGACCCACCCAACCCCCCCCCCCCCCCCCCCAAACCCCAAACACCCCCGCGGAGGTGCTTGCGACCTCTGGGGCTTATGATGTGGAAGCTTTCACACCCGCCTCTGGCGAGAAGGCCGCTCGCGCTTTTTAGGTGCAGGGTGATTGGGGGCTTCGGGGCTTTTGGGCCGGGTGCCGCTAAGGGAGTTTGGGCGTGGTACTTCTCAAATTTGTGCGGTCAAGTTCGCATCAATGCCACAGCGCCTGTCGAGAACCGGATGGCCTCCGACTAGACTCTTGAAACACGTCACGGGAGCTGTAGTTGATCGACATGTTGGGTGGATGGCAGGTGTTGAGCATCTGCCATTCCAGTGCCTGTGTGTTGGTCCTAAACCCTACACAAACACACTGCCATAAATCCTGTGGACCCCCCCCCCAAAGCTCTATAGGCGCCATAAACCCTGCAAGGTCTAACCCTCCATCCCGCCCACTCAGCCAGAGGATGATCCCCCCCTTCCCTCCAGAGAACGCCAGAGATGTCATGATCGTGAACTGCCCATATTTTGAAGTGCAGAGGCCGTGCAAAAACTCAAGTTCACGGGGATGTTGAAGGGGCTCTCGTGCACCAGGGCCTGCTGGTTGTCCACGAGGCCGTGTTGGCTTTAGGGCTCTATGGGGGGCGCTTCATTTGCGACGTTCGTCGGGCTTGTGGGAGTTCAAGGTCGGGGTGAGGAAGAATTGTACTCTTGCGCCTTCTGTAGAGGGAAGTGTTACTACAGCTTCGCTTACGACAGGGTTCGGGTAGAAGCCTACTTCCCGCTAATCGCGAATGTACTTTCTAACTCTTGATCATTTTTTTTTCGTAAGTAAGATTCATTTGACTTTGGTCAAAGGCTTGCTTCGTCTTCTTGAGACGTTGGTGAATATTGGCATTGCGAAGTGCTGCTTGTTCGCCACAAGTTAAACCCGCTAAGAAATCCGTTGACGAAGATCTCGTGACGCTGATGTGTCAGCCAATTGGAAAGGGTTCAGTCCCAAAATGAAAGGCATGTGCCCACCTGTCCACCACCACCACCTTCATAGGTACAACACGCATTCTGTGAACCAAGGTGGGCCGATGCCAAATAAAGTCAATGGGCCTTCGTCGCAAGGAATTCGATGTTATTTCCGTGGCCGAAGCTTCAGCCTGGGGATTATTAGGGTTTAGGGTTTAGGGTTTAGGGCTTCAGGCCCTCAGCCCTATGAACTATATGAACTATAGCACCATACACGAAGAGCCTTAAGGCTTCTAGTATGGGCCTGGCCTTGAAAGCAGGGAATGGGGTCATCAGAGCTGTTTGTTCTGCGCAGCAGCTTGGGGGTTTGGGGCTTATGGGTCTTGCGCCTGCGGCAGGACGACACAGATGCAACAGCCTCAGGCATTTCGTGATCTTTCGTGCTTGCGGGCGTTGAGCAGTCTTTTAAAATTCGCTGCAGGTGTGCATGCCTGCCATGTTCATGGCCTCATGGTCACCACTGGTACGCTCAAGAATGGGGCCCTGAACCCCTGTAGCCCCAACGTCTTGTGTTGAGTCTCAGAGTTCCTGAGACTCTTGTGACGTCTTCGTGAGCTCGCGAGGTTTACATGGCTGACTGGCAGGGGGACACCTTGAAAGGCCTCATCGCCACTACAGTTTGCTTCGGCCGGTAAATGGTCTCCAGATTCAAATGCCTCACAACGTTCCACACGCATGTGACTCTTCCAGCGGGGCTTTCAAGGTTCAGGGGCTGGATGTTCACGATTTGGGAGGGCTTAGGGATGTTTAGGGTGCAGATTTTTTTGGTCTTGGGCTTGGGGCTTCGGGCTTCGGGGGTTTGTTTTTTTGGTGATAGGCCTTATGATGCCCCTCTTTTTGTGTGCCATTGCTGGTAGAGGCGGCTCAATGAGATGCCTGGATGCGGTGCAGTGCAGGGAAGTGCGCGGTAGGGTTGAGGGTTTAGGGTTTAGGGTTTCGGGTTTAGGGTTTAGGGTTTAGTGCTTAGGGCTTAGGGCTTAGGGTTTAGGGTTTAGGGCGCGGTAAGGATCTTTGGGTTTCGAGTTTAGTGAGCCTTCGCGTGCTCGAGGAGCTCCAGGCCCCGGAGCCCTCGACTTCCCTAAGCCCTAAACCCTAAACCCTAAACCCTAAACCCTAAACCCTAAACCCTAAACCCTAAACCCTAAATCCTAAACCCTAAACCCTAAACCCCCCAAAACAAGCCCTAAACCTCAACCCTAAACCCTCTCTATCCTTATTGATTTAAACCCTATTAACTTTTTGGTGCACTTACCCCCCGTTCTTGAGCACTTTTTAGTGCGTCGGCACCGTTCTTGAGCCATTTTTGGTGCGTCGGCACCGTTCTTGAGCCATTTTTGGTGCGTCGGCACCGTTCTTGAGCACTTTTTAGTGCGTCGGCACCGTTCTTGAGCCATTTTTGGTGCGTCGGCACCGTTGTTGAGTAAACTTTATATTTCTTAGGTTGATGTTCTGGGATTCTTCGCGTGGGTGGGTTTGTTCCTAAGCCCTCTAGACCCTAAACCCTAAACCCTAAACCCTCAACCCCAAACCCTGAACCCTTCCCAAAGCCCGATCAGTCGCAACCCCTGTGAGGCTTTGCAAAGATTCAGAGCCTCGGATTTTCACATGGCCCTGGCACCCAGCGGTCCTGGGTTGAGGGTTTAGGGTTCAGGGTTTGGGGTTTAGGGTTTTAGGGTTTTAGGGTTTGGGGTTTAGGGTTTCGGGTCTCGGGTTTCGGCTTGGGGCGCTTGGAGGAACTCTCTGAGCCCTGGGACCCTGAGACGCCAAACCCCCGAAGAGGAGTGGGGGAGATGAGGCGCTTGCCTGAAAGTTAAGGCCTGAGGCAGCGTCCCAGACCCCAAGCGTAAGAAGTCCGGCTCACACGACGCCCCCGTTATGTTAGAGCCGGCCCCCCCTCTTAAAAGCCCCCTCCTCATCTAGGAGCCCCTTCCTGATTTAAGAGGGGGGCAACCCTAAACCCTCAACCCTCAACCCTCAACCCTAAACCCTAAACCCTAAACCCTAAACCCTAAACCCTAAACCCTAAACCCTAAACCCTAAAGCCTGAAGTGCAAGGCCGGGATGCCGAGCACGTGGTGTGGCGAGGACCGGGGGGGGAGCAGGACTTCATTGCAGGGTGTTTCGGTGTTTTTCACAGCGTTTTTTTCATGCCCTAAACCCTAAACCCTAAACCCTAAACCCTAAACCCTAAACCCTGAACCCTAAACCCTAAACCCTAAACCCTAAACCCTAAACCCTAAACCCTAAACCCTAAACCCTAAACCCTAAACCCTAAACCCTAAACCCTAAACCCTAAACCCTATGTTTTTGGGATCTTCTAGGGCTCTCGCCCAAGTAGGCTTGGCAACGGGCTGCTGTAGAATGACATTGATCGTGGGTCGTGTTGCATGAACGCAGTAAAAATATCCTTGCACAGGAGTACGGCGTGAATTCTATGAATCCTGCACACACACACACACACACACACCAAACACAGTTTTTGACAACTTTTAGGTGGAGATCGTGTGCTTGGTGCAGTCGCTTGTAATTCTGACGTCTATTCGGAGGCGTGAACGCAGAACACAGGTAGTACAGCTTGCTTCTTCCCAGTTTGTAAGCGCTAAAACTTCGCCAGTCCCTCAAGCTCCAAGCCACCAGCCGGGACCAGCCCACCGAAATCCACCTCAACTAAACCCTAAACCCTAAACCCTAAACCCTAAACCCTAAGCCCTAAACCCTAAACCCTAAACCCTAAACCTTAAACCTGAAACCCTGAACCCTAAACCCTAAACCACCGCGAGAACGGGATTTCGTCGTGCTGTGCATCTTCCGCGACGAGACATCCTATGAGGCCTCGCAGAGATTCGCAGTTTGCAGAGTCAGCTTGGCGTGTGGGGTTCACGGTTTCGGGTTTATGTCTTTTGGGTGTAGGGTTTAAGGTTTAGGGTTTAGGCTTTTTGGATGTGTGGGTGTTTAGTTTTATGTTTTGTGAGGGTGTGGGCCGTCGGGATTTCGACTAACCCTTTGACAGCTCAGTGCGTTTTTCTCTCCCGGTCTGGCTCTTGCTCTTGCGCCAAGATGCTACGACTTGTACAGCTAGCACTGATTCCTTCTTCAACCCTAAACCCTAAAGCCGAAACCCTAAACCCTAAGCCCGAAACCCTAAACCCTAAACCACTCGCCTCATGGCCTTTTGGAGGTGGATTCGCGCATTTTCGAGTGGGGCTCTCGCGCCCTGTCAGAGGCGGATGGGACCACAAAGTGCCCCCAGAAAGGTTTTGAAAAGTGCTTTCAGGGTTGAAGGGCCGAATCAGAAAGGTTCTGACACTCAGAAATGAGCTGCCGGGATGTTGGACATCTAAGCTGGCACCTTCGAATCAGCTGAGCCCTGAAACCTGAAACATCCTGAAAAACGGAGCAGAAGAACTAGGGCGGCCAAAAGCACTTGAATGCTGATCAAGAATCCTCGTGAGCCGAAATTCCCGAGCAAACCGAACCAAAAAAATGCAAGTGTACATACATACATACATACATACATACATACATACATACATACATACATACATACATATATTTCTAAAAGCCCATCTGCGAGGTCCAGCGTTTCCCCTCTGTCGGTGCCTTTGACGTTCGGGGCCCCGTTAGTTGAAGCTTTCCGGTTGAGTCTGTTTAAAAATCTCTAGGTTTAGGGTTCAGGGTTTCGGGTTTAGGGTTTAGGGTTTAGGGTTTAGGGTTTACGGTTGAGGGTGCTGATCTTCGTGTTCGGGGGGGGGGGGGGCATAGGTGCTCAGTTTCACATTTTTAGGACTAAGGAAGAGCAGTTGAGGGGCTTCGTCGGTTTCGGGGCTTTAGGGGCTTGAGGGGTTGAGTATTGGCCGCCGCAGTCCCAGCTTCTTGTGGACCAAGGTGCCAGTTGTGGGTTTGTTTTGGGGCGCTCGGTTTCCGGCTGGGACTTGACAGGGTTTGTTGTGTCACGGGGTGGAAGCTGCTGTTGACTTATTTACTTGATGACGTGTGATTGCTAGAAGCGACACCCTAAACCCTAAACCCTAAACCCTGAACCCTGAACCCTGAACCCTAAACCCCAAACCCCAAACTCTAAACCAAGGTGGGCCTAAAGCATTGGGGCTCGTTTAAGGCTTTGGCGGCGTCAAGGTGGTTCCGAGGGCATCTTGGACAGATATCAGGGGGCACACTCTGGGTTTAGGGTTTGGGGCTCATATCCGCCCCAAGACAGGATCCCAAAACCCATGATCAAGAAGGACTCAAGCTTTGGGGGGGTGGCGGGGCAGGGAAAAGCCAACTGGGCTGGTTCTGTGCTGGGGGCCGCTAGAGCTTGACCCTAAACCCGAAATCCGACACCCCTGCATTGCCTTGCATCTCCCGCTATGCAACACCCACGATGCTCCGAATTGGGCGGCCTCGTGGCAGTTTCAGGGAAGCCTCTCATGCTTTTGGCTGCAACATGTTCGCAGACGCTCTCTCCCCCAGCCCCCCCAAAAGCAGCTCTCTAAGCCCCTAAACCCTAAACCCCAAACCCCAAACCCCAAATCCCAAACCCCAAACCCTAAACCCTAAACCCTAAACCCTAAACCCTAAACCCTAAACCCTAAACCCTAAACCCTAAACCCTAAACCCAAGCCCCACACTCTGGGTGTTCACCTTCCTTCGGGCCCTGAGGCAGAGATGCTCCACCTGGGCTTGGCTCCGGTGCTTCTGGCCCGGGAACCCTGGGGAGGGGGGGGGGGGGGGGGCACACGGACTCCGAACCCTAAACCCTAAACCCTAAACCCTAAACCCTAAACCCTAAACCCTAAACCCTAAACCCTAAACCCTAAACCCTAAACCCTAAACCCTAAACCCTGCACCCTAAACCCTACACCCTAAACCCGAAACCCTAAACCGGTATGTCTGAGGCTTTTGAATGGTGGGATCTAGGCTCTAGGGGGGCTGCAAGGGGGGCTTAAGGTCTTAGCTTTGATTTTTCAGCCTTAGCAAGGCTTCAAGTCTTTTGAAGCCGTCTGTGTTTTGAAATTTCGGTCGGTCGGTGTTGGAAGCTTGAGAACTTCATAGGGCTTAATAGGACTTTAAGAAAGTTCATGGCTTGAGGGTGTCGGCTTTGGCAAAGTAAGTTTTCAGGGGCCTTTGAGCCTTTGAGGCTGTTGAAATACTAGGGTGCAGGGTGTTGTTTCTGAAAGGTTCCTTCTTAGGGGGGTTGTGTCCCAAGGTTTGTTAGGATGCGTGACTTGTAGGCAGCTTGTGGGGTTTGAGGTGGTAGGAGTCGTTTTGCAGGCACGAGGTGTTCTTGTTTTAGGCATCCGGTAGCAAGTTGTTGCCAAGCTTCTCTGTATGACTACTGTGAGGTGAGTTCTTTATGGAGAACAGGTCATGAATGGAGCTCATCCGGCACAGCGCCGCATCTTTTCTTTGCGGTGAAAGGGTCTCGGGTTGAGGGTGTGCTCACTGCCTGAAACCTGTTTTTCAGATAGCCGGGTCGGGGATATGCGGCTTAGCTGAAGCACCTTCCCAGCCCCAAACTCTAGACCCTTAGTGCAAAGACAGGTGGCCAACCAGCGATCCGGCACGTCGCTGCCTCAGGTCTTGAACAGCAGTTTGACGCTTTCAGGGGGTTTATGTGTTCTAGGCTTTCAGGTCTGAGGGCTCAGGGTTCACAGGCTTCAGGGCTGGAGGGCTTGCCCTGTTGCTGCGGAGTGTCTCGGCGGCTCGGGTCACAATGCCGTGAACTCCTTGCAGCGAGCCGCTTCCCCCCCCCCAGCACGATACGTCTAGAGTTCTTCCATCCTAGGAACATCCAACCCTAAACCCTAAACCCTGAACCCTAAACCTAAACCCTAGACCCTAAACCCTAAACCCTAAACCTGAAACCTTAAACCCTAAACCCGATACCCAGGCCAGAAAGTTCGGAAAGTTCGCCTCGCAGGTCCTTAGTCTACGAGCTCGGAGAGACGGATACCTGCCTGCACCCCAGGGGCTGAGAAAAGCTGGTTTAGGGTTTAGGCCCTAAACCCTAAACCCTAAACCCTAAACCCTAAACCCGAAACCCTAAACCCTAAACCCTAAACCCTAAACCCTAAACCCTAAACCCTAAACCCTAAACCCTAAACCCTAGACCCTAGACCCTAAACCCTAAACCCTAAACCCTAATCTCCAAACCCTAAATTCCTGGAGCGTTGGTGGGGCTGGGCGTGCTGATCTGGAGCTGTGGGATGCCCCTTCTTTTGGCGGGACCTTTATTCATCCTCTTCGTATGAACCCCCCCCCCCCCAAACCCTAAACCCTAAACCCTAAACCCTAAACCCTAAACCCTAAACCCTAAACCCTAAACCCTAAACCCTAAACCCTAAGACCCCCACCCCCCCATATTCGTTACTCCCATGATGGTGCTGTGATCGTGTGTACTAGGGGGTGGGGGAAGTTTCATATTCACGGGAGGGGATTGGATACCGGGACACTGTGGGAGTCGCTTCAGCAGCTGTTTCTTTCCATGTGTAATGTCAGGTCACTATGTTTTTTGTATACTGGCACCTATATGTAGTATCCAAGACGAAGGCTCTTTGTAGCTTTGCTCGCGAGCATCGGAAGGTCCATCGATCTTTACAGAGAGAAGATCGTTTCCATGTCCTGCAGCTATTCCGTTTGCGCAAGATCTAGTACGCTTTTGCCAAATCAAAAAATTTTCATGTCATTCGGAGATTCTATGTTAGAAGGATGTCAGTTCAATGAAGACGAGATTTGCCCTAATGAAAAAAGCAGGTTTGTTGTTGAGCCGAACCGAAATCCAAAGGTATTCTAGTTAGATCTTAACAATTACACCAAGTTAAACTCTACTACAGTCCCGCTATGTAAATCTCAATCTTGGTACGATGATTCGTGCACCCCTCCTCATATCAGGAGGATCTACAAAAACTGAAATACGATCCTCATACAGTTCACCCGCCTGCGATCTCACAGAACATCTTGTTGAGTTTACTGCATACCCATATTGGATTTAATCTCCGAAGTTGTAAGCTTTAGCAGGAAACATCATAACGTGCATTTGCGCAGTGATCTACTTCTGAAGAAATCTTGCGGGAACTTGGTTTTCCTGGAGCTTTTACCATGTTCTTGCGAAAAAAAGGCTTCACAAAACAATTCATATCCTGCATTATATTGTTGCTTGGGCAATGGTGATCTTCGTTGTAAACTGAGAACAGGTGAAGTCCGTACTCTTCCGACACCAGAAAGGAAAAACCGCCAGAACCATCTCTGGTTCCCCGCATGTAATCAGGACGACAAATGATGCGAGATTTTGTGGGCTTGAGCCTGTTGTAGCTGTTACGTATGTGAATTTCACGTTTGGCTTGAAGCAGAAGGCGCTGAACAGGTGCACTCCCACAGCGTCTCCGCATACAAGCAGGAAGGGGACCCTAATTCAGAAAAAAATACTACGCAACTCACCCTAAACCCTAAACCCTAAACCCTAAACCCTAAACCCTAAACCCTAAACCCTAAACCCTAAACCCTAAACCCTAAACCCCAAATCCTAAACCCTAAACCCTAAACCCTAAACCCTAAACCCTAAACCCTAAACCCTAAACCACTCTTTCATATATAATATAAATGTTAATGACTTTGCGGGCAAGGTCATATATTTAGCGGGCAAGGTCATATATTTAGCGGGCAAGGTCCTAATTTAGCGGGCAAGGTCCATATTGGGCAAGGTCCTAGCGGCAGGTCATATATTTAGCGGGCAAGGTCATAGATTTTGGACCTGCCCCCCCCCCACCCCACCCCCCCACCCCCCCCACACCACCCCCCCACCCCCCCCACCCCCCCACCCCCCCCGCCCACCCCCCCCCCACCCCCCCCCACCCCCCCCCCACCCCCCCCCCCACCCCCCCCCCCACCCCCCACGCCCCCCCCCACCCCCCCCCCCCCCCCCCCCCCCCCCCCTGGAGCCCCTCAAAAGAGTCAAGCGATTCAAGATGGCTTCCAAAGAATAAGTTCCCGAATGACCGCGCCTGTTTTTGAGGCCCCTGAAGCCCCTCAAACGACTCAAGAACTCAAGATGGCTTCCAAAGAATAAGTTCCCGAATGGAAACATGTGGTTAACAAATCCATTCTGTTGACCACGTTGGTTTTCTTGTCCGCTTGAAACAGAAACATGTGGTTGACAAATCCATTCTGTTGACCACGTTTGGTTTTCTTGTCCGCTTGAAACAGAAACATGTGGTTAACAAATCCATTCTGTTGACCACGTGCCTAGAGAAGAAGGAGGTTGGATATTTTTCCTAATGGTGTGGGACCCAATGGGCGGGTGGGTATTCCCCTGTGGCCTTGAAAGCTGCTCAACTAGTGAATGCTTGGACCAGAGATGCTGAACCCTAAACCCTAAACCCTAAACCCTAAACCCTAACAAGTCCGGGTGATAATGCAGGAGTGCCTTTGGTCCTTGGTTCTCGAGAGGGTTTTCCAAGACGTGGGCCCTGAGACCCTTCAGCCGAAAGCTCCTACGTTTAGGGTTTAGGGTTTAGGGTTTAGGGTTTAGGGTTTAGGGTTTAGGGTTGAGGGCTTAGGGTGACACGAGAGCCTGCAGCCCAACGTCTCCAAACATCACGCGCCATGTTGTTTTTTGTTGGGGGCAATTGGGGAGAAGCACTTAAATTGAGCCTGAGCTGAACCTATACATGACCTACATGTCTTACATGCCTTCAATGTCTTGCATGTCTTAAGTGGAGATTTACGAAATAGGGGACCAAATCCCCCAAAAAGTAGAATGAGGACCCCAAAAAGGTACCCCCTAATTTCGGAACCCCCTAGACCCTAGACCCGAAACCCTAAACCCTAAGCCCTCAACCCTGAACCCTAAACCCTAAACCTTGAACCCAAAACCCCCCAAATGTCTGACATGTAGTAAAATGCCTTTAGGCCCCAAGTTGGTCTGCCAGCGCGGCGACCTTGCCACGCCCGGGGCCCAAAAGAAGGTGACTTGGGGTTTAGGGTTTAGGGTTTAGGGCTAGGGTTTAGGGTCGGGTTCAGGGTTTCGGGCTTAGGGTTTAGGGTCTAGAGGGGTTTAGGGTTTAAGCCCGGCTCCATAACTCCTCAGAACTCCACATAGCTCCAGACCCTCAACCACCTTCAACCCCAAGGTAGTCCCGAAGCATGAACCCTAAACCCTCTTGCAGGTTTGTGCTTGCAACATCTTGTTTTCGAGCGGCTTCGCTGTTTGGCCAGAGGTTTTGTGTTGTGGTTGCAGTTTGTCGTGTTGGCATTTCGAGGGTTGAGCATTAAGGCGGAACTGAATCCGCCAGCCGCAGACCCTACACCTGAAGCCGCTAATCTGCAGCTCGACTTATCCTAGCGGCTGTTGAGCCTACACCTTAAACCCTAAACCCTAAACCCGAAACCCGAAACCCTAAACTTTTCCTGTGAATCCAGATCAGCTGTATCGGTCTGGCGCTGGGAGTCCATAATCATATCGGTGTTACTGCGTCAACGACCCTTGAATCCGCTCCATGGGTTTTTGCAACACAGGGGTTTGCGAAAATAGGTGACCCTAAAATAGACCCTCCTAAATAGTAGGATTCCCCCTCCTAAATAGTAGGATTCCCTTAGAATAAGGACCCAAGTAAGGTTCCCCTATTTCGGAAACCCCCACATAAAATCAAGGATTCATGACCTCATTTGTTTCACTCCGCTCGCTAGACTCCTTCATTCACCTTCATTTCCAAGTCTATGAATCATCAACTGTGCCGCACGAAGAATTTTTTATTGCTGGTTTTTGAGATAAGTGTAAGGGAAGAGCGAATCCTGTGTGAGAAGCCACTTACAGAATTGAGACACGAGGAAAAGCACAAGAACGTTGGCATCAAATCATGTGCAAGCTCAGAATTTCATGACTTGGCGGCTTGGTCTGGGTGCGGCATTCAGGAAACGGCAGCCGTCATCAAAGACTTCTCGTGGTGGGTAGTTCGTGCGTGGTTCCGGGGCCTTTGTGGGCGACATCTTGTTCAGAAGTTCCTCTCCCGCAGGCCCGTTACGTCCTCTTTCTCAGGTTGGAGAACGAGGGTGTGGAAGAACCCTGAAGACCAAAGCAAGTTAAAAAGAGACTCTGAGCTCCGAGACCCTAACCTCTACTTTCCAAAGTCCTACACCCTAAACCCTAAACCTTAAACCCGAAACCCTAAACCCTAAACCCTAAGCCCTAAGCCCAAAACCCTAAACCCTAAACCCTAAACCCTAAACCCTAAACCCTAAACCCTAAACCCTAAACCGCCCTAAGTTGCTGAGGGGCTTATGGCTCCCAAGGCCCAAGGTGTACAACGTGGCTGCGCACTTTGTCCCCGAGGATGCGCACTCAGTGACTCCGAGAAGAAGCCTTCGCTTGCATTCGAGTTTAGGGTTTAGGGTGTAGGGTTTGGGGTTTAGGGTTTAGGGTTTAGGGTTTAAGGTTAGGAGGGTTTAGGCTTTAGGGTTTTTAGGTCCAAATCCCGAACTTCATGCTTCAGCTTAAGGACCTACATGCTTGAACATGAGTCCTATACTTCGGTTGATATGCAAAGGACAGATCAAGAAGTGCGGTTTAGGGTTTAGGGTTCAGGGTTCAGGGTTTGTGGTTTAGGGTTTAGCTTGCAACGGCGCAGCTGCAGGCCCAGATGAGCTTCCTGGCCATTGCCAACTACTGGGATTGACGCAGACGCCGTGAGCCAAAAAGGGTTCTCTGACTCGGCCATTCGATGAGTGGATGACTCAGTGCGCAGTTGGGGTCCCTGACTGTCCTCAAAGGACCGGAGCAGTTGGGGAGGCGTCTGAAAGTACCGTAAGAATGGGCTTGATCGTTCAGGGTTCCGATTACCCCAGCTCAGGCCACATCCTAGATCCGAAGCCTGAGATCCCAAAACTGAACAAACCCTGGACCCTCGACCATTTGCACAACCACAAGTCCCTACAGCTTCGCGTAAAATCCCAGACCCTAGACCCACAACTCTACAGACGAAGTCCCCGCACTCCTAAACCCTAAACCCTAAACCCTAAAGCCTAAACCCTAAACCCGTCTAAAGCACCCGAAAACCTTTCAGCCCACTCTGGCAGCCTTGCAGCTCACGGGCCATGGCTAGGAAGTTTCAAGCAGAGCCCTCAAAGAGCCTTCAGATGCCTTCAGGTTTAGGGTTTAAGGTTTAGGGTTTAGGGTTTAGGGTTAAGGTCTTGTGGCTTATGGTGTCTTGTGGTTTGGCCTTTAGGGTTTTGGGGTTTGGCCGCAAAGACCCACGGCGGCGACACAAACGATTGAAGGAGGTGCGTTGTTAGAAGCGTGTCCCCGGCCCATGCAAGCCATGCAGCCACCACCAGGCTTGTGGCTTTGGGGCATTTTCTCTTTGCTTCTGGGTTATATTAGGGTTTAGGGTTTAGGGTTCCGGGTTGAGGGCTTAGGGAAGAGGATGTGTTGTTTTGACTGACAAGCTTTTTGGGGTTTTTGGGGCTTGGGGTGGCGCCTGACTCGCTTGGCTGGATGTTGCACAACTTTGGGGCAGGAGCCCTTCGCCGAATTTTTTCGCGAACCCCGGAAGTGTGTGCCCCAGAGCCTCCGGGCACTCGCTAAAGTCTCACGACGCCCGGCAGGTGGCGCACGCTGCACCCTGCTGCCTCGCCCTGCCGTCACGACCCTCCAGGCAGATTTCTGGTTTCCCTTTCAAGCCGGAGCATGCATGAAAGTAGAGTCCCCCTGAACCGCAGATGCTCCAATCCCATTCCACAAAAGCTCCGAAGCGCCTGGGCCTTCTAGGAGGGGCACGGGGTGGGGTGGGGCGGGGGGGGGCCGGGGTGTGGGTAACTTACTACGTCCTACCCTGAACCCTAAACCTTGCTAAACCTTACTGAACCTTACTAAACCTTACTAAACCCTACTAAACCTTATTAAACCCTACTAAACCCTAAACCCTAAACCCTAAACCCTAAACCTTAAACCCTAAACTGCAAGGCCCCACCGCCGCTGCAGATCCTCCCGGCGGCCCCACGCGTTGCCGAGCACAGGGCCCGCTCAGCCTCCGTTGCATCGGGGTCAGGATCACAATAGTGGGGGTTTAGGGTGTAGGGTTTAGGGTTTAGGGTTTCGGGTTTAGGGTTTAGGGTTTGGGGTTTAGGGTTTAGGGTTTAGAATTACTAATCGTATTTCCCTTATGGCTCCTATATAAATATACTATAGTATCCCCCCAGAACCCTGTTCTAATTGTTTAGGCTCCGATATTTGAGGGCTCGAGGGTTTGTTTGTTGTTGTTGTTGAGGTTGTAGGTCCATTTGTTTAGAATCAATTCACTACGGGTTGGATGGAGGGTTTATATGTGTCAGGATTGGTTCTTTAAGGCTCCCAAAACCCACTCTTTGGATTTTTGTGATGACTCTGACACGTAGACTTGTTTAATGCCGTGTTTCTGAACCTGGCTTGCTTTCAACTCAAAATTGTGTTGATCTTCCTTGGTTTTTTTCATGTCAATGTGTGGAGTCAGTGTGGAGTAATGGCTTCACAAGGTGGTATACAAGGTAACTGCAAGCAACCCTCATTTTATCTGAGCTGAACTTGCACTTCACTCCTTGGAATTTGTTTCACGTAAGTTACGAATGAAGGTTTAGGGTTTAGGGTTTAGGGTTTAGGGTTTAGGGATTAGGGTCTAGGGTTTAGGGTTTAGGGTTTAGGGTTTAGGGTCTCGCGCACCGTCACAGTAAGGCAAGAAGGGAGTGGGGGGCGGGAAGGCGGAACGCCAGCAAGCAATGTGGCCCAAATCCCCTACCCTGCCCCTCAAACTGAACCCCAAACCCAAGACCCAAAAACCCATCAGCCCTTTCGGTTTTGGGGACCCTTTAAGAAAAGATCCTCAAGGTCGTCTAAGGGCCATATTAGGCGTACATTAAGGGGAACCCTTACAGACCAAAGACTCGCCAGAGCTCTGTCAGTTCCTCTGGGGTTTCCTCGGCCCTCGGAAATCTGAGACCTGTAACACCCTAAACCCTAAACCCGAATCCCTAAACCCTAAACCCGAATCCCTAAACCCTAAACCCTAAACCCTAAACCCTAAACCCTAAACCCTAAACCCTAAACCCTAAACCCTAAACCCTAAACCCTAAACCGCTTAGCTTGTTAAGAGTCCGTTGCTGAAAAGGGGGTCCCAAGAACAGAAAACCTTGCGGAGACCTAAACCCATGTAGGCTCTCAAGGCCTCTTGCGTGTTCCGCAGCTCTTGCAGCTATTCTGAAGTTATACGAGACGCGTCCCGCTCCTCTTTTGACATTCGCCAAGGCCCCTCTTCTTCATTCTGGGGGTTGAGAGGGCGGGGGGACTGTTGAGGGACTTTTGAGGGGCCTTTGAGGGACTTTTGAAGGGCTTTGCGTGGTCGGCTGAGAGTCCTTTCGTTTCGGTTTCCTCTGGGGCACTTTCGGCCCCGACTTTGGGTGCTTTCTCCAGCTGATGTTGCTTGCTTAGGGTTTGGGGTTTAGGGTTTACTTTACGGGTTTGGGGTTTAGGGTTTAGGCTTTGAGGGGGGTGTTTTGTTCAATAATTACCGTCTTCTTTGCACACGGCTTGACTTGCCTGCAAGCGCCTACTGGGGTTTAGGGTTTAGGGTTTAGGGTTTTGGGTTTAGGGTTTTGGGTTTAGGGTTTAGGGTTTAGGGAGTGCTGTGACTTCTGCTGATATCCGTGACGACGAGTGTGATGGGGTGTCTCACACCTCATTAGGTAGGTAGGCCTTCACTGGGTTGAGGAGGGTTTGGGGTTTGGGGTTTAGGGTTTAGGGTTAGGGTTGGGGGTTGAGGGTTTAGGGGCTGTTAGGGTCCCTCAGCACCTGTACCCTCGAAGCACTCGATTCACTTCGAAGGCCCCAAATCCTGGCACCCTCCGGCGAAACTTCCCCAAATGGGCTTTTGGACGTCAGGATTTGAGTTTGAGGTTGTCCCTGCGGGAGGCTCTCATTGAAAGCCATGGCTGCGGTCCTACAGAGTAGCATGCCGTTCCCGGAGGAGCGCCGTGTTCTCTGTGGCTGGTTGTGGGTTTCGGGGTTCGGGGAGGTCTACTTGGAGTCTTGGAGGTTCACAGTACTTCTTGACCACTTATAGCCCAATCATAACCTTATTAGGGCACTTAAGGGGCTCACAAGTGGGTTATGATTACAGTCAAACTGGTTGTTGAGCACCCTAAACCCTAGACCCTAGACCCTAGACCCTAGACCCTAGACCCTAGACCCTAAACCCTAAACCCTAAACCCTAAACCCAAGAAGTACCATGAACCTCCAAGTAGGGAGGGTAGGAAGTCCCGGGAAGTTGTTTGCCGGGCAGTCTTCGAAGTTTGGCCTCTGGTGCTTCCCTCCAGGGTCTAGGGTTTAGGGTCTAGGTTTAGGGTTTAGGGTTTAGGGTTTAGGGTTTAGGGTTTAGGGTTTGGGGTTCAGGGTTTAGGGTTCAGGGTTCGGCACCCTGACAACCGCTGCTGGCAGGATGGACGCACAAATTCTGATGTTTTCAATTCAGGCAGTGGCTACGTCCAGTGCCTTGGCTGCACGCCTTTGTCTGAGGGTTTGGGGTTGGGTGTCCCTAAACCTTAAACCCTAAACCCTAAACCCTAAACCCTAAACCCTAAACCCTAAACCCTAAACCCTAAACTCTAAACCCTAAATCCTAAACCCTAAACCCTAAACCCAAAACCCTAAACCCTAAACCCTAAACCCAACACCCTAAACCCTAAGCCCTAAACCCTAAACCCAGGATCCTAAACTCCAGACCCTTCCGATTTCGGTCTTTTTGTGCTTCGGGCTCTTCAGGGACTTGGGGCTTGTTGGGGCCGCTTGAGGTTAGCGAGTGGGGGACTTATGGGCCGGCAGCAGCCTCCATCTCCGCCCCCCCCCCCCCTCTCTCCCCCCTCTCCCCCCCCCCCTCTCCACCCCCCCCCCCTCTCACCCCCCCCTCCTCCCCCTCCCTCTCCCCCCCCCTCTCCCCCTCCATGTTGGCGGTTTATCTACCTCCAAGGTCAGACTACAGCATATTCTCACGCCCGCTGATGCGTTGTTCCTGTTGCATGTCGGGAAGACGAAGCGCCCCATTTTAGAACATCACGTCTCGCAGTCTCTTCCTCCCCTCGCCCACCCTTGCCCCACCCCTTGCCCCCCCCTTCCCCCCCCCCACTCCCCGAGCAGCCCGAAACAACCCAACCCAACCCCAAACCCCAAACCCCCAAAACCCCAAACCCCAAACCCAAACCCCAAACCCCCAAACCCCAAACCCCAAACCCAAACCCCAAACCCCAAACCCCAAACCCCAAACCCCAAACCCCAAACCCCAAACCCCAAACCCCAAACCCCAAATCCCAAACCCCAAACCCCAAACCCCAAACCCCAAATCCCAAACCCCAAACCCCAAACCCCAAACCCCAAACCCCAAACCCCAAACCCTAAACCCTAAACCCCAAACCCCAAACCCCAAACCCCAAATCCTCAACCTCAAAAGAAGTGGGAAGTGGCCGGGCCAAGGATCGAAGACATGACCAAGCTGCTCTCCAGGCACGGGATTGAGATCCCATATGGGGGTTTCCGAAATTAGGCTTTAGGGGGTTTAGGGTTTAGGGTTTAGGGTTTCGGGTTCAGGGTTTAGGGTTTAGGGGGGTTTCCGAGATTAGGGGTGTACCTTATTGGGGTCCTTATCATAAGGGAGT